GAGCTACTTTGTATAGGATTTAGGTCCACGGCGGTTTGCGCTTGCTTTCTAAAAATTTAGATCCGTGTTCGACTCAAGTAAACACGGGTCTTGTCCCGCTATACACTTTTATTAAAAAAATATAATGGAACTACCCTCCAGAGAAAACTGGCTGAATGGACAGGTTCTATGTAAGATCGGTAACCGTACATGGTGCGATGATGGGTCAAAATGGGCCCATAAGTAGGCTTTGGAATTTACGGGGAATGCCCCAAATTCAAACTAAGTATGAATTAGGGTATCCACCCTAATTCATACTAAGTTTTCACAACTCCATCTTCCAGGAAGAAATTTTCGTCATACTTCAGTGTGCGGAAATCAATCTGCAAAAACATTACGTTAATCATATTATCTATATAAACTCTAATATTCAAGCAGCACTGCTAGCACTGAGATCAAAGTTAGTAAAATCGAAGCTAGTTGAAGACTGCGTAACCGTCTAAACGCCTTGGAATAGAACAACAGGGTCGTTTTAAGAAGGATTCCGTGCCACGCGAGTATTGTAGATAATGAACTTGCCGATGAGTTCGCAGGGGAGGGCATAAAGAGCATGAAATTTGGGACCGAGCCATTTTGCGTAATCTAAAAATGTCTAGCCCGATTGACCCTTGAAATTCTTTATCACAATAAATCACTTAAGATATGGTCCGATTCACATGGCTTAAATATTTTTATAGGGTGGGGGTAAACGAGCATATGGCTCACCTGATGGTAAGTGATTACCGCTGCCCATGAACAACTGCAACACCACGGGAATAGCAGATGCGTTGCCGGCCTCTTAAAAAGGAATAGGTTATTTTCTTGAAGGTCCCTAAGTCGTATCGGTCCGGAAAAATCTCTAGTGGTAGTTGATTCCACAAGTTGTGGACTATACCAGGACTACAACTATCGCTAAACGGAAACAAAATTTTAGTTCATTAAAACATTTAAAAATTTACCTATGTTTCTACTATGTGTCAGGAAAGACTGTCATATCTTGGAATATTTTCCATAGAAAATTCTACTGCCCAGAAATTTCAAGCGGGTAAGCCAGAAAGCTGGCCATCTAGGCTTTTCAATAAGTTTGTTGATGGTAGTTCTTTTATCTTTTTTAACTCTGTACGCAGAGCAACAGTTTAAATAAAAGTTGTCAAACAAGATTATTAACTCTTATTATGAGGAATACTCTGTACAAATACATAGTCATCGTAGTAGCAAGCATTGGGGCGTTGTCGTGTAAGCGGAATGGACAACATTTCTTTAACACCATAAGCAGAACAACTGCTATGGCAAGAGCGACTGACACAGCTGTGCTTGCCCCGCATATACACCTGTAGATATTTGATAGGTATTATACTATTTAAAATCACGAAAAAGCAACTGCATAGTATAGGAACACTAAGGTTTTGTATTTAGAGGGGCGCCACTATAAGATCTCGCACCACCTAAAATTTTGCTAGGGCCGCCACTGTATCAAATTAATAATGTGTACAAACAAATCGAATACATATTAAATTTAACTTTTCCAATTTAAATTGTAGACCCAGAATTCATTCAAAATGTGAAGTAGTTTACAAATTATAAAAAGAAAATTCTATCTTATTATGGAATATTCTAAGCCACTTAAAAAAATACAATAAAACAATCTTCGACCTTAAAATAAAATATTAATAAAAATTACACAAATTACTTAAAATAAAATATTAATAAATAGTAACTAAAATATGCAATAACATAGCGCTGTTAAAAAAATAAAAAGTTTTTTTTGAGTCTCATTTAAGTAGATTTCCATTTAGATTGATCTTCAGAAACAAGGTGATTCTTGTTTCTCTTCTTTTTGTCAATTCAGTAAACATGTCGTAACTTCAAATTACAATCTCGACTGTTTTCAACACAATGTGTATTTGCAATGCATTTGCAATGCTGGCCTTATTTTTCAATTATTTCTTATACACTTTCATTTTATTCAATTTATGTCATACTTTGTTCCATTCTCGTTGGGTGGCCCAGACCATACCTATTATTAATATTTTTTTTACTCTCTTATTGGTTAACCATTTATTGGCATTTATAATCATTCACGCAATCGAACTTGCGTACAGCATGTTTGAAAATGCGCCATGGTTTGGTCGTTTCTTCAAAATTGCATTACGCCATAAGCAGGAGTGCAACCAGATCTGGGCTCACGCATCGACGTGTCAGGACGCAAATAGCAGCGCTCTAAAAAAGAAGTATAATTCCGGCTCCAAGTCCTTGAAAAGTGTCATTTTAAAAGCAAAGTCAGAGCACATTGGCAGAATTGGCGAGAAACTAGTTCGTTTTCCGTCGGGAATACGTGCATTCTGGTTTCTCGCTAAAACTGTCTACGGTAATTTCTGTCAGCCATCTCTCCCATCTCTGCAGAGGGAATGGGGAACACACCACCGACCATCACCGGGTGTGAGTACTCTATGCAAGATGTGCTGTTTACCCAACGCTCGGTAAGCAGAACTCTCCTCTCCCTAGACATCAACAATTCGAGTGGGCCTGATGGCGTCCTCCTATTATACTGAAGATGTGTGCTCTGGAGTTAGCACCAGTTTTAACGCGTCTTTTCGGATACTCTTACGCCCTATGAGTAGTCCCGATATCATGGAAGACAGCTTTCTTGCACCCGATTCCCAAAAAAGGTAACCGATCCTATCCGTCAAATTATAGGCCTATCGCCATCACCTCCTTATTCCTTATTCGCTTGTATCGCCAATTCAAAACTGCCCCGGTTTCGGCCCTAAACGGCTTTATATAGGCCTTTTCTACCAAAACATCTAAAATGCTCCAGAAAATACCGGTCCCGACTGACTAGATGCAGAAAATTCGCGTGTGGACTTTTCCAGAAAGCTTAATTCTTCTATTCGATGGAAAGTTCAGGCATGGCATTTTCACGAAAGCTCTCCTCGCTCTGTTCCCCGAAACTAGATGGCGCTAGCGGCATCAATTATGGCTTGCACCACTATTAAACTGTTAATTTTACCCAATATTATTTAAATGTGTAGTGTTCGCGTAAATATAAGAAATCATTATAAACATTGATCGTGTTTTTCAACATGGTCAAGAGAAGATACAAACATTAAATCAAGAAGGGAATTTAAAAAAAAATGTGTTACAGAACACAATTAGGAAAAAAATGTTACAGAAGTAGAAAGTTCAAGTTTGTCGCCTCAATAACAAATATAAGTTTAATGGATCTGTTGTTGTTTTTGAGTAGATACGTTTTAAAATTACGGTATGACTATAAACAAGTATATGGTTTTATAAGGTATATGATTATATAAAGACTCCAATTAATAAATTTATGGGGCGGAGAAAGATTTCGATAAAGAAGAATTCTACGCTACCAATTTGGGATATTTTTGACACTTGAATAATAGAATAAAGTATATGAGATCGTAAATAAATAGCAACAACGCCCCTGCTGCGCTTGGTGCGGTCGTTACGAATTAAAGTGAAGCCTGAAAACGAGTAGTAAGTGGATGGAATTCAAGGTTATAACCATGGCTCCAAACCAGGGACAGCATGTATGTTTTTATTTCGAAACTTTACGTGATATCAGGGTAATGAGCAGGAATAATTTGATTATTAATGTAAAGAATGTTAAAAATTTTATGAACATCTGAAAAGTACGAGTCTAACGTAACATTTAAAGGAGTTATGCTTTCAAAAGTCTCGTTACTGCTCAACCCGTCAGGATTAGTATTCAAAGAGTTGAAATCTCTATTTAAAACTATATAACCTTGTTTGCCCAATTCATATGCGATTCCAATACGTTAAGCAGCGACTATAATTCTTATTCTAAAAGTTGTGGTAACCTAAATAAGTTCTAAAAATAGAGGGACGATTCTAACAGACGTAATATCAAGCAATTTGTTTTTGCACCATTCCTGATTATAACGCAGTAAAATTTTATGTTATTTATTACTTCAATATATAATCAGTAATCGTAAGCAAGTCTCATCCAAGGCAATCTTCATCCAAGATTGACTAAAAAGTATTAAGTCCCCCTTCCTTAGTGTATATCAAACATAGTATTAGATATATTATAGTATTAGATAGTGTATCCCAGAAAGAATGGATAATCCTGGAGCGCCTAATAGTACAGGTGTTCAAATAAAAATAAATACATAAAAAATATATTAAAAGTGGTGCCAAAAATATGAACGTTTTAAAAACAATAATGTTTTTATTTACCTTACTATACTTTCATGTACATCATTGCCGCAAATTAATGAAATTCGTTGCGTTTTTGGTGTTCTCTTATTTGCTACAGACCATTCTATTATAAATCCAGTAAGGAGTATGGGTATCTATTGTATTTTTTTGCAGAAAAAAAATAATAGCTTCAATTTTTGGCATGAAATTTAAAAAAAAAATAATTTTGACAAAGGTTTGAGCGGCATTCGTGAAAAAAAGGATACAAATCTAAGTGGCCAACTAATTTAAAAATATGCGCAGTTAATATAGTATACAAAATGGTATAATACATAATTTTAATTAACGCTAAGATGCACAAAAATCGACTAAAGAAATAAAAACAGAATCTTGTCTTAAATTGTCATTGTAAAAGCGTTAACTTGTACATAAATCAATCTTTATTTCATAAAAAGTGTTCAATTGTTTGCTAGCAACTCTGATACAAGCTCGACATCTTCTAATGAATGCTCTACTAAGAAGTTGTCCGTACCTCCGTTCAGTTATTTTTGAAGCAGCCTCCTGCACACGAGTCTGCAATTCCACCATACTTGAAATAGGCTTGAAGTACACCTGTTCTTTTAGAAAGCCCCAGTAAAAAAATCTAGTGTACTTCAGTCCGGGGATCGCGGAGATCACAAAATGGAACCTGAACGAACAATCCATTTGCTTGGATACGTGGCATTTAAATATACACGGACATTTGCAGCATAATGTGCAGAACAACCATCATTTTGTATCCAATGAGATTGTCTTACCTCCTCAGACATTTCTTCCATTAAATTTAGCAGATCATTTTGTAGAAAATTCAAATAACTTTGTCCAGATAATTTTCCAGGCAGTTCAAATGGCTCAATGATTTTTACGTTTAATATACCAGTCCAAAAATGTATTTTAAACTGGTATTGTGATCTTTCTTCTCGCATTAGATGCAGATTTGAGAGTTGCTTGCTGTGCAGAATATGCATGTTAACGTATCCGCCTTTTTGAAGAGTGAATTCATCGCTCCACAGAATTTTGCCAAAGAATTGTGGATCTTGTTTCATTTTTGCAAGCATTTATCGACAAAAAAAGAATTGCGGGTTGTAATCTCTCGGTTGTAGAGTTTAAATGCATCTAATGTGGTAAAGATGATATTTTTTTTTCATTTTTTCTCCTGTTTTCTCAATAAATGAAATGCATGTTTGAGTATTCTGTGCCGTATATTGAATACGTGGCATATTAATACACAATATCAATGCAGATACAAGTCAAGTCGTCGTAAAATTACCAAAGTTCAAATCACATAGTAAAACTAAGAGTCCACTCAAATAGCCAGGAGTCGTCGTTATAACACTGATTTTAAAATTACAGATAACTCCAAAAGGAATGCACACATGCGATATCCAACAAGTCGAGAGACGCACTAAATAGTAGGCATGTCGATCTAAAATCGATTAATCGGAAAATCGATTCTTAGGAGTAAAATAATCGATTATTTAGATCGATTCGGAGCACCGCATCGATTCACTGAATCGATCCAAAAACCTCTCGAATCGGGGGCTGATTCATTTGATTCAAAAACTAGCGATAAAATTCCCAAACTGGCTGGGGTAAGATTTAATTTTTTGCTGTTGGGGGACGCAAAAACAACCGGTCGTACTTTGTTGATAATTTGAATGCAATATATATTTGAATAAAATAAATATTTATGAACGCATCCAACAATATCGAAAAGTTGTCATTTCATTTTCATTTCTAAAATTCTAATTCTAATCTTACCTATGGAATGTTGATCTAACTTAATCTGTGCTGTGACCAAGACTACATATTGTAGACAGAGAAACCTATAGACTAATGATTAGCGTGGCCTCGAGTGAGAAAGGACGATAACGTAGTTTTAGGTTATACAATAATCTTTATGACTTTTAAACATATTTAGATAAAAATTTTAATTGTTCAAGAACTGAAGTGAACAAGATTCACCAATCACAAAACACTTTTTTCTCACTTAAACCAACTTGTTAACTCCTTAGATCGCTACGAACTGTCAACATTGTTTTGCAAAGTGTAGTTTGCTAAGCGAAAAAACCGGCACGGAGAAAGGGACAAAGAATCACACCGCTCTGTCTCATTTCTATCCAAGACGTATGCATTATCTATCTTTTTCATGTGCGAATGCGAAAGACGGCGTCAATTTGTCTATAGGTTTCTCTGCCTACGCTACATATATATCTTAATACATATAAATCACGTTGTGTGTCCGTAATGGACTCCTAAACTACTTAACCGATTTCAATCAAATTTGCACACCGTGTGCAGTTTGGTCCAACTTGAGAGATAGGATAGTTTTTTGCCCATGTGTGACCCACACTTATTTTTTTTTGCGAATTTAAGGATTTTTAATAGGACATGACAAAGGGTCGTCGAAAAGGGCAGAACAACGTCTGCCTGGCAAGCTAGTACTACAATATAATATGATAGCTGTGAACCTGTTTGAACTGTGAACTTGTGAATTTACTTTATTTATTATTAAAACATACTGTGAGCTGTAAGTACAGACAGAGTACTTTTTAAATAACTAGATACTGTAAATAAATATTACGTGTTGAAGTTTATAGATGTTTATAGTAAGGAAATAACCAGTATTGTGTTCGTGTAGCAATTATTTCAATTTGATAAATAGTGGGTTATTAGATTGAAACAGATTTATCGAGAAATGTACGTTGCAGTTTGCATTTTTGTTAAAGTATTGTTGTTGTTTTTAGCCTAAAATGTCAAATAGAATTGATCATGGATTCACTTTGTAATTTTGTAAAAAAAAAGGGATCGAGTAGCGTATGTGCGAACCACTCCTAACACAAGCGTTTCAAGCTTACCAGTAGTGGTTAAAAGAAATATTAGTAATGTTAGTTAATAAGAAATAAAGAAAAAATCGCAAATTCTTCAAATTTCATGTTTCAAAATGTCGCGATTAATCGAAAATCGATCTTTTAATCCTCGATTTAATCGATAATCGATTCTAGTATCTTCGATTCAAATCGATTCAGAGATCGATTCTCTTAAGAGTGAATCGACATGCCTACTAAATACTTTTATTTTTATATGCTCAGTCGCGCGAGAAAAGGTACAATGTATTAACATTATACTCTTCTATCACTCACTCACACTTCTCCTATCCATGTCTTGTAAATCGTATTGAACAAAAAATTGGTAGCGTGGGCCACACTCAGGTAGTAAATGCGGATATTATACGATCTTTACAAAAAAAGGACTCTTTCACTCAAGAGCGTTTTTGTCATTTTTACCGTTAAAGGAAAGATAAGATTTTTTTAATTTTCTATCTTTGGATAAAATTATGCATTATATATTTATGTAAACTGTATTAACTGCGCATATTTTTTAAAGTTGGCCACTTAGGTCTCCATATTTTTTTCACAAATGCCTCTCAAACTTTTGACACCATAATTTTTTTATAAAATTTCATACCAAAAATTGAAGTTTTCATTTATTTTCTTTTTGCAAAAAAGTACACTAAATACTATCTCATACTCTTTACTGTATTTCTAATAGAATAGTCTGTGTGGAATAAGAAAACAAAAAAAGGCAACAAATTTCATCAATTTGCGGCAGTGGTGTACATGAAAGTACAGTAAGGTCAATAAGAATATTTTTTTAAACCACTTGGATTTTTTTTTGTATTTTTATTCGAGTGCCTAATATCTGTACTACTAGGCTCTCTAGGATTATCAATTGTTTCTTGGACATTCTGTATAATAAAGATTAAATAAATAATTTTAAAATTAAGGCACGCATCAATGAAACTTACAAAATTAAGTCCGATAAAGCTATAAAAGCTGCCTGGCTAACAGCACGAACTTCACCAAAAACCAACATAACTAAGGGACATTGTACGCCACTAAAGCCGGCAACTTACTTGCACATTCCCTGGTGTTGCGGTTGTTCATGGGTGGCGGTAATTACTTACTATCAGGTGAGCCGCATGCTCGTTTCTTCAATAAAAAAGTACCTCCTTTACATTAATGAGGATAATATTGATTTGACCTACAAAACAATCCACATTTTGACCGTTAATTAAGATTTATGTGAATTATATAGTTGGACGCGTACCGAATATTAAAAAAATATTATATTAAATGTGGTAAATTTATTTCTGAATGATTTTGTTAATTACCATGAAATTATAATATTACGGATTTCATTGTACATGTGGTGTGTTTCGAGTACTTTAAAAAACTCATGACCATAATATTATTCAGGCTTGCCATTCTATATAGGCACAGATTAGTAAATAGTTTACCAACAGATACATCACTCCCATGCAAAAGCGAAAATACCTACGCTATAATAGCCTACAAAATCTTAATAATAATATCTACTGTTCGCAGCGAGAAGAAAATGTACCGTAAGTACGCGTACAAAAGAGTCGAGATTGTGTTGCCCGCCGTGCGACTCACGTGCAAGCGCGTCATCGCACGAATAGGAAAATAGGATTATAGGTAGGGTGTAGGCTATAGGGTATAGGTATATATAAAAAATGATTTATACATTTTTTTCCTTTTTTGAATTCTCGGTTATTAAATTTTATCGTTGAAAATATCCTAAATCGCGTAAATAATATTATAAATAATCAGGAAAACAGGAGCAAAGGCGAGGAAAATCAATATTTTATATGATTTGCAACAAAATGCTATCAGGCCAATTCATTATGACGTTGTCAAAATTATTTAAGAATGCTCTTTCTAATTCTTCAATATAATTATTGAACGTTTCTGGTTGGGCTTTTAGCCCACCATAAAAAGATGAATATTTATTATAGGCTTTGAAATATTTTTATATGATAGGATAACAAAGGAGCACACAGTCCACCTGATGGTGGTTGCTGCGGTCCATAGACATCTACATGTACCCTCGATTACAAAACAAAATGCAGATGCGTTGTAACCCGTGAGGACTAAGATGGAATGCCTCATTTCCAGTAAATAGGGTATCCGGTTCTCTACACTCACCATACGAAATACAGCAGCATTAAGCTACTATTTCACGCTGGTATTCTGTGAGAGCGTGGTCCTTCCCCGGTCGAGCCGACCCATTCGTGCTACAACATTCGTGTGAGCATACAATGTTCTTTCGTCAACGTTAATTTTCTCCCGTAACAAAGCATTGAAGCTAGTGCAGTTATGTTTTTTTGCTACACATCATATATAATAAATACCCTTTTTGAATTTGACACCCATCCACTGCACAATAATTACGTGGTTTCGGCATTTCGACGAGTAAGCGCGGGAAACGTGCGTGTTGCGAGTTTAGGCTGCCACACGCCCAGGTGGGCGTGTGGCAGCCTAAACTCGGTTGTATCGTGGGCGATACGCGGAGCTACCGTGTTGTCCTCTGCGTGGGCTTTCTGTCCAGCAGGTTTCGGGCCTCAGGGTATACCCCTTTACCCGGGCATTCTTCACGGCACACTACAGTGTGTCGGTCCTGGGCGCCTTTTCGTATTAAAGGCGGTTTTTGTTCTTAAAAGCGGCTTTAGCCGTAGTTGGGTAAAATATAATAAAAAAGGAGGTTATCAGTATTTTGTATTTGATTACAAAATATTCTGTCAGAGTTGGCCTATCTGCGGTATTGCGGGGTTTACTCGACTCCCTAATCTATATAGGGAGGAGTTCTCTTGGATAGGGTCACCCGTCCAGGGGCCGTGTGTGTAACGACGCGAAGACGTTTAGGTGTTTATGTGGCCCGTTGTCGGCGTGGTTGAACTAACCGCGCGCCAGTCGGACCACAAATTCGTCAAGGCTCTCTATCTTTAGGTTGGCCGCTATGATGTCATTCCGAACGTAGTGACCCGCACAGACTATGGTCAGTAATGTCAAATTCTGCTGGGCCTGTAGTCGCCGCTTCTGTCGATCGCTCAGGAGCACATACCAGGCCGGAGCAGCGTATGTTAGCAACGGTCATATGTACTTTTTGTATGTAGTGATCTTCGACTTATTCAGTAACTTGGATGCCAGGACTGGACGGAGCATTTCCCGCGCACATCTGGCTT